TCAACATTTTATTTTGAAAAAACTTCAAATTCACAAAAATAGTTACAAGGATTGTACAGAGAACTCCCATGTTCCTTTTGTCCAGATACTCTCATTTTTGACATTTTCCTATATTTGCTTTATTATTACCTCTGTGCATATGCATATTTTTTTCTGAGTCATTTGAGAGTGTTGTACGTCATGCCCCTTTACCCTGTAATATTTTAGATTTAACCTCGTAAGGTCAGGAATATTCTCTTACATATCCATGGCACAGTTATTGAATTCAGGAAATTTAAAGTTGATATAATACTTTTATCTAACCTACAATTCGTCTTCCAATTTTGCCAGTTTCCCAGTAATTTCCTTTATAGCAATTTTTTTTTTAAGCTGAGCCATCCTGCCACCTGTTGGCAGCTCAGTGACAGCTCAGCTCAGGCCAAGCATAGAACCGCTGTTGCTCAGAGCTCAAACTCTTGAGCAAGCTCTTAACCAACTGAGCCACTCAGCCGGCCTTATAGCAATTTTTTATTTCTGATAGAAGATCCAGTCCAAGATTATGACTTGCTTGTAGCTTTCATACTTTTTAAGTGTGTTTAAGATGGAATTGTTTTTCAATGCCATTATAATATTTAAAGAATACAGGCCAATTGTTTTATAGAATTCTTTGAATTTAGGTGTCACAGATGTTTCTTCATGATGAGATTTAGACTGTGTATTTTTGGCAGGAATACCACATGAATAATAACTCCTTTTAAATTTGTGGCCCAGGATAGTGTGTCTCTTGGAAACGTTCCATGTGCACTTGAGAAGATTGTCTATTCTGCTCCTGGCAGGTGTAATGATCTGTAAATATCGATCAGATCAAGTTGGTAGTGCTGTTCAGGTGTGCTGTATCTGTGCTGATTTTCTGCCTACTTGTCCTATCAACCATGAGAGAGGGAAATTATTGGGTTGTCAGAAAAGTCATGATGCATTTTTGCAACGAAAAGCAGAAAAAATATGTTATGACTTTACCGACAACCCAATAAAATCTTCTGCAATTGTGCTTTGTCTATTTCTCCTTACGATTCTACCATTGTTTGCTTCATGTATTTTATTAGGTACATAAAATATTTAAGATTAAGTCCTCTTCATTAATGAACCACTTTGTCATTGTGAAAATGTCCTTCTTTATCTCTGGTAGTACTCTGTGCTGTGAAATACTAGATATTCCAGCTTTCTTTTTTTTTTTAAGATTGTTTTTATTGGGGAATTGGGGGAGGGGAACATTGTTGGGGAATTGGGGAGGGGGACCAGCCAAGTTGTTGTTCTTCAATCTTCATTATGGAGGGTGCCAGTCACCATCTGGCTTCCTGTTGGCAGCTCGTGACTTCTAAGCTCAAGGTGCTGTGTTCAATCTTAGTTGCGGGTGGGCGTAGCCACTATCCCATACAGGAGTCGAACCAGCAGCCTTGTTGTTAAGAGCACATGCTCTATCTACTAAGCCATCTGGGTGGTAGCTCAGCTCAAGGTGCCGAGTTCAGTCATAGTTGCAGGTGGGCATAGCCCACCATTGAACAGGCAATCTTGTTATTACACCAGCTGAGCCATCCTGCCACCTGTTGGGAGCTCAGCGACAGCTCAGCTCTGGCGCAGCATCACTGGCCCATGTGGGAATCAAACCAGAGGCCCTGTATCTCAGAGCTCGCGCTCTTAAGCCAACTCTTAACCAGCTGAGCCACTCGGCCGGCCCTATTCCAGCTCTCTTTTGCATAGTGTTGGCATGCTGTATCTTATTTTATATTTTCACTTTTAACCTATTTGAGTCTGTGTATTTAAAGTACATTTTTTGTAGGCAGCATATAGTTGGGTTTTGCTTTTTTATCCAGTGTGACAATTTCTGCCTATTAATTGGGATGCTTAGACCATTTACATGGAACGTGAGTATTGATATAACCAGTTAGATTATAGTCTGTTGTTTTTGTTTTCTGTTTGTCCCATCTTTTTTGTTTCCTTTTACTTCTTTGCCTTCCTTCCTTTCAAATTATTGAATAATTTTTATGATTCCATTTTATATCTTTTGTTGGGTTGTTAACTATAAAATTGATTTATAATATCAGTGGGTGCTTTAGGGTTTATAGTATGCAACTTTAATTTATCATAGTTTATCTTGAAGTAATACAGCATTTCACTTGGATTATAAGAAGCTTACAGTTACCTTTCATTAATCCCCTCTTGTCTTTACCCCCATGTTGCATTTTACTTTTACAGGTGTATCAATTCCATGATATATAGTTATTTTTAATTAATTAGTTACTTTTTCAAGAGATTTAAGTAATAAAAGAAAACACATAATTACCATTTTAGGTACTTTTGTTGCTTTAAACTTTTCTTTTTATCACTGGTTTTGAGGAATTTGATTGTGGTATGGCTTGGTATCATTTTCTTTATGTTTCTGTGCTTGAGTATCATGAACTTCTTGGATCTGTGCGTTTACGGTTTTCATTAACTTTGGGAAAAATCTGACCATTATTTTTTTTGTAAGATTTTTTTATTTTTTATTGGTGAATTGGGGGAAGGGGAACAGACAGGTTGCTGTCCTTTTGTTCTTTTTTTTTTTTTTTAAAGATTTTTATTGGGGAATTGGGGGGATGAGAACAGTGCTGGGGAATTGGGGGAAGGGGAACAGACAAGTTGTTGTCGTTTTGTTCTTCAGTCTAGTTGTGGAGGTGTTGCTTCACTGGCCCAAGTTGGCACCATCATTGCGCTCTTCCCCGGCGAGGCAGATCAGTCGCCGGCTTCTGGACGGCCACTCACGCGGCTGCTGGCCGCTCATGCTGGCTGCTGGCCACACACGGTAGCCCATAGCAACCCACTGCAGCAGGGGCTGCAGCCTACGCCATCGCTGGGGACTCTCGGCAGCCCAGTTCCGGGTTGAGCTGTTGTTTAGCATCTTAGCTGTGGAGGGCAGTGTCACTGGCCCTCATATGTGGGATCCGAACCGGGGCCCTCTGGTATCCCAAGCCAGTTCTTAACCAATGTGCCACTCGGCCAGCCCCTGACCATTATTTCTTCAAATGTTCCCTCTGACTCCCCCTACCCTTCCTTCAGTGATTACTGTTTCCTGTTTATTATGCTGTTTGAAATTGCCCCACAACTCAGGGATGCTCTTCATTTTTTTTAAGTGTGGTAAAATACACATAACACCAACTTTGCTGTCTTAACCATCTTTAAGTATACAGTTCAGTGGCATTAAGCACATTCATATTATTGTGCAACCGTTATCACCATCCGTCTCTAGAAAGCTTCTCAACTTGCAAAACTGAAACTCTATACCCATTAAACAATAATTCCCCATTTCTCCCCAGCAACCACCCTTCTACTTTCTGTCTGTATGATTTTAACTACTCTAAGTGCAATACCTCATTTAACTGGAATCATACAGTATTTGTCTTTTTCTGACTGGCTTATTTCACTCAGCATAACATCCTTAAAGCTCCTCCATGTTGTAGTATGTGTCAGATTTCCTACTTTTGTTAGGCTGAATAATAATCCAATGTATGTAAATACTACATTTTGCTTATCCATTCATTCATTAGTAGACACTTGGGTTTCTTCCACATTTTAGCTATTGGAATAATGCTGCTATGAACAAGGGTATATAAATATCTCTTCAAGTCCTTGCCTTCTGTTTATTGGGGGTATAAACCCAGAAGTGGAATTGCTGGAACATATGATAATTCTATTTTTGATTTTTTGAGGAACCATTATACTATTTCCACAGCAGCTGCACCATTTTACATTCCCACCAATAGCATTCAATGGTTCCAGTTTCTCTGACACCTGTTTTTTTTGTTTGTTTTCATAGTAGCCATCCTAATGGGTGTGAAGTTGTATTTCATTGTGTTTTTTATTTGCATTTCTCTAGTCATTAATGATGTTCAGCATCTTTTCACGTGCTTATTGGCCATTCATGTGTCCTTAGAGAAATGTCTTTTCAGTTTCTTTGCCCATTTTTGAATGGTGGTGTTTCTGTTGTTTTAGGAGTCCTCTATATATCTTGGATATTAATGCTTACCAGCCATATGATTTGCAATCTTTTTCTCCCTTTCTGTGGGCTGCCTTTTCCTCTGTTGACAGTGTCTCCTGCTGCGCAGACTCTGTGCGCACCACTCCATTTTGCACCGGTGGGGAGTTGGCAGAAACGGTGAAGTTGCTCGTGTGGCTTCATGTTGAGAGCAGTTTTCTGAGAGCTGCCTTTAGGACAAACTTCCATGTCCAACGTGTATAGAGTTGACTCTGTCCTGGTTAGCCTGAGACCATGTGGAATTACACCTACATCCCTAGTACCCCAGATGGAGGTTTTCCGTTTGAACAGTGACTGTGTGTTCACCCTAATTGTAGAGGCCTGGCGTGTCTTGTGCTCTGCTGTGTCTCGGCTGCAGGGCCCGTAGCCAGAGGGCTCTTTCCAGATTCAGCGTGCACCTGGCTGTGCTGTGTGCTGAGAACGGGCTGCTCAAGCTTCTCAGGGAGTCCTCTGACCATGCAACTGCTACAGGGCCCTCAGGATGGGCCTGGAGGCTTGCAAGGGCTCTGTAGGGAATCTGCCGTTCACTTCTCTGTGGCCCAGCACCCGCCCCGATAAAGTATGTTCTGTGGCTGATTTCTCATCCACGCTTCTCTATATCTCAAGTTTCCTCAAAGAATTCCCTGCTGTTGGAAATCTCTGTGTTCTAGTGCTCCTATGAGAATGTACCCTATTGTTATATTTTTTTTACTTAAACTTTTTGGGTTTTTGTCTTTTTTGAGGCAGGAAAGTCATTGTGTAGGTTCAACTTACTCTGTTGAGTTAGAATCAGCTCTTACTCTGAAAAAGCTGTCCTTAAGAAAGTGCTTTCTTGGTCTCCCTGCCCTGTGCCAACGTCCTAATACTGATGCTGCTTCAGTTTTTGCCGTTGGTGCTTTATACACCTCCTCCTCCTCTCCCTTGCCCTTAATCCTGTAGATTACCTGGCAGAACCTGTGAAGCCTAATCTGCAACCATAAAATTAAACAGAATTTGCTTCTCTGTTAACCCACCCTCCACCTTGTATACATCACTCTAATAACACTGCTGCAAGAATGAGGTGTTTGAGATAAAACTTGAAGAAAGCAGAAAAGCTAGTCACGCACATAGCTGGTTTGGGAATAAGAGTCAGAGGATCAAAGAGCTGACAGTGAGGAGACCACCAGAGCAACGAGTGTGGGAAGGAGAGGCCAGGGACAGTCCTGGGGCAGCAGCCTGAAGAAGCAGGGGAGGGGAGGACCAGCCAGCAAAGGCGACTGAAGAAAATGACAAGGAACGAAAGGTTTATGTTCATTTACATGGTATCACCTTAGTGGGGTATACGCTTTTGGAGAGCAGGAATGATGGAGAGCAGAAGCTCAGATACTTCACTTGCAAAACCAGAACTCAGCTGCTTTTTGGTTTGAGGATGTTGCTTTTTTTTGGATTTTTTTGACCCAATAAGGAACCCAAAGGCCACGTGTTTCCAATATGGTTTGTTTTTCTTCTGCAATCGGTAACATTAAAAAGATATACAATGTTCATAGCTGACTTTACCAGTGAGCTCGGTAAGCTCTGGTCCCTGTACACCTTCTCTGTGTCACCCAATTCCGATCGCGGTGTCATTACAGGAGCCAGTGTCGTTCCAGGATGTGGCCGTGGACTTCTCCCAGGAGGAGTGGCAGCAGCTGGACCCTGACGAGAAAACAACCTACAGGGATGTGATGCTGGAGAACTACAGCCACCTGGTCTCCGTAGGTGAGGGGAGCTTGCTTCCTGAGTTGCTACTATGTGGGGGCTTCCAATTTAATGATTTTATCCTCAAGTTCCAAAAAATAAGTGATAAGACTTTTAATTCCTTTTGGGCACCAGATAGAGCATTTGTGTCTCTGCTTCTCCATCAAAAGGCTTTCATTTCGATAAGGTGCAAAATGGGGCAATGTGTTATGTGGCCCCTAAGGCAGCACCTTCTACACAGAGATCTGAAAGCCGAGCAGCTGGTCCAAGTCCATGTCCGTTTCCCATTCACAGGGTACGATAGCACCAAACCAAATGTGATCATCAAGTTGGAGCAGGGAGAAGAGCCGTGGATAGCAGAAGGCGACTTCCCATGTCAGACCCACCCAAGTGAGTTCGTAGAACGTTAACATTTTTAGAAATGGTCACCCCAGACCTTGGAGAGTGACCTACTGTCTCCTTGTGCCTCACATGCCCTAAATCACACCTCAGGACCCAAACAGCGCTCTCCCTTGAGCACATATATGCCAGCTCCTCGTTGGGTTTTCCGTTTGATGTACATGCACAGCAGCATCCCGTGCTTGCCAGGACTGAGGGCCCATCCCTTGCCCCTCTTGCTCTTGCGTTCGCAGTAACCTACCTCCTCCCCTTTGTCATAGAATTCCTTTGTTTTCAGGCATTCAGGAGTTTGACTGAAAAACTTACTCGAGACTTTCATGTCCATCCTTTTTATCTTCTGTTTTCTTTCCTTCCTTGCTGTGAAGTGCCTCTGGCTTGTTTTCTGCCCCAGTTTCCCTCCCTGCCCTGTGCATTCAGATACAAGCACGTCGTCCTCTCCCGAAGGAGGGGAGGCCACTCACCTCGGCCGGGGTGTGCGCTTGCCCTTGTTTGCAGGTGCTGCTCGTGGGGTGTGTCCTTGGTTGGTGTGGCACTGCATCACTAGCTGGGCCTTGCTGTCTTCCCCAGGTGCTCCTCCATGTCTGTCTGTCTGTCTGCCATTCCCGTGTCCACACTAGATGTTCAGGAAGTGTTTCTCTCATCAGTGAGTTTTGGTTCATTCTCTTGCCTTCCTCAGGACTGCCCCTACAACTTGTTTTCCACTTTAGTTTTCTTTGCATCCCTTCAAAGGGTTCATCTCCTTTCAACTTTTAGGGCTTTTTAATTTGTATTTATGCTGCTCATTAATGCCTTTAACCACCTGTAGCCTAGTTGACCATTTTACCTGACAGATGACAGTGCCAGTGAGATAGGCCCCTCCCTCCCTCTCTCCCTCCCTTCTTTCCTTCCTTCGTTCTCAGAATGAGCTTTCCCAAATCACAAGTTCTGTGCATCTTCCCCACCTCCCTTTATTTATACATATACTAATCTTCCTTTTTTCTGTCTTTTGTGAAATGCTTTAAAATTTGTCTACATATTCTTAGTGTCTTCTGACATCGGTGTAAACAATATTCCCTCACACCTGGATTACCATGAATCCTATTTGGAAATTGAAAAACCTGTTTATCTAAAATAGCCAGTTGATCTAATCACCAGGCTGACAAGATGAACCTGTAACTATTTTGTTCTTAAATGGAATTGAAATTCTCTCCTCTGGTCCCACAGAGTATGGTGTGATGTTGCTTATCAAAATTAGTGTTCTGTTTCCCCAAACGCTTGTTAAATTCCATTTGGTCCAGATTTCTGAATGCTTTCTGTTCAGATTATCATTGTCCCTTTCTTTTGTGTGCACTTTTCTTACCCAGATCATACGTTTTCCTTCCTCTTCCCTTAATTATAATAAAAAACATACCTAAAATTCACCATTTGGACCATTTTTTAAGTGTCTACTTCAGTCGTCATAACTATATTCACATTGTTGTGCACAAGAATCTCTAGAACTTCATTCTTTAAATTTGAGCTTGAAAGTTGATCTCATAGCTGAGGTTTCTTTTATTACTCATTCACCATGCCAGTATCTCTTAATACCCATTCCACATGGTAATTGTTACCACAAAAGTTAGATATGATTATAGATTGTATACTCTGATATGTAGTGACATATATTTGTTTCTTGAGCTTTTTCTCTACCTGAATTATAATCCTCCAGAAGACGGGTTTTTTTGACTCTGCTTTGACATGTAACCTATAAAAGACAATCAGTAGATTTTTCAATAACTGAGGAGCTAGGTAATGCAAGACCTTTATCATTCATCATTGAGAGATAATTTATTTGGAACTATAGATTCTGATAAAACAGATAGGGGTTAGGATGGAATGTGAAAGCACCCCATTTGAGCAGATTAGGAACTATAATTTCTAATCACAGGGAGATTCAAAGAAGATAAGAAATGTAGTCACACTTGCCACAGGCATAGGTTTTAGTTAGGAAGGAAGAACATAGCTGTATGAACTAGTTCAAAATTCAGCTTTCAGAGCCGGCTGAGTGGCACATTGGTTAAGAGCTGGCTTGGGACGCCAGAGGGCCCAGGTTCGGATCTCACATATGAGGGCCAGTGACACTGCCCTCTACAGCTAAGATGCTAAACAACAGCTCAACCTGGAGCTGGGCTGCCGTGAGTCCCGGTGACGGCGTAGGCTGCAGCCCCTGCTGCAGTGGGTTGCCATGGGCTGCTGTGTGTGGCCAGCAGCCAGCATGAGCGGCCAGCAGCTGCCGTGAGTGGCCGTCCAGAAGCCGGTGACTGATCTGCCTTGCCCAGGAAGAGTGCAATGATGGTGCCAACTTGGGCCAGTGAAGCAAC